ACTAAATCCTAAACATAATTTAAAAAAAATAATAATTTTCAGACATAGTCTCCTTATTTGTTGCTGAATGGGCTTTTTCCTTTTTAGTTTTTTTTTATTTTCTGTTAATGATGTCAAGCATACAACAAGATAAGTATAGTGTCCATTTTAATACTATTTTTTGAAAATACACATGTGAACAGCAAACTGTTTCCCTGCCATGGTCTGAGCTTAGGGGTCTGGGTACCTGATGAGGCCAAGGTGTAAAGCTCTACTCCTGAGCTTGTCTTGGATTTCAGAAGTGACGGTAGTGACAGCTGAGAGTCCGTGCAGGACAGAAAGTTTCACAGGTGTCTGCAGCTAACTGGTCTCCACTGTGTGTTTCTTCGTTGAGCTTTATTAATTAGCTATAACTATGAACTATTAGAGTTTCCATTTTAGAGTTTATATTTAGATTTTTTCTTTAGAGATGATATCAGTAAGACTCAAGATTTACCTGGATTATAAAAGCAGATATAGTATAATAATAGCTGTCACTAAGCACATGGCCCTTCCTCTGTGCCAGGAATTCTTCCAAGTAGATTCTGTACATTAATTTGACCCGTCCTTACCACAGTCATGAGGAATCAACCCTCTTATTCTTATTTTATAAGAAACTACAGCACAGAGAATTTAAGTTGTCCAAGATCACTCAGGAAGCAAGCTGTTGTGTTCAAATATGGATTTCGGCAACTTCATTCCCAAGGTCTCACTACCACAACGCTGGCCTCTCTGAACAATGGAGCACGCATTCGCAATAAAAGTTAAACGCTTCAATTAAAAAACTAAAAAACAAATTAAACAATTTTAAATAAGGAAGAACAATAAAGTGAAATGAGTCTTCATTTTCAATTTTTCAACAAGAATGTTCCAATGAAAATTTACAATTATTAGTTGGCAATTTTAAATTTAAAATTGTCAGTTTAAGTGACCAAAAACTTTTCTTCAGTATTTTTTGTATGCCACCAATATGATACGCTTTTGTTTCTCAGGACTCAAAAATATTATGAACATCTAATTTTGTCTAAGTTTCAACTTTCATCTCTGAATGTACAGTTTTCACCAACATACGCTTTGACCCCCATCTTCAGTTGTAAACAATGGGAACTATTCATAATGGGGGTTATTAGAAGCTTATTACATTGTAAAAGACAAATGTCACTTTCTACTGGTAGCTGAACCTCATTTTTTTCCATTTATAAAAAGAGGAGTTTGACCTGCTCCCTCCAGACGTTTTCAGTGCAAAAATTCTGTAGATCAGATTCAATTTATAAAATCTATAGTTGGAGATATTTCAGATGCTCCTAGTAAAAGCATTTTCTTTCCAAGAGTTATTCATGCTCACAATCTACTTTCCTGCTGCTGCTGACTGCAAGCACCATCAGCTGTAAATTATCTCAGCTGATGGAAAGAAGCAATAATACAGATGACTCAAAAATTATCTTTTCATAGCTCTCAAATGTTGATACAAAGATATATAGTTTTATTTTTTTACTTTTGCTGCAGGAGTGGCAGCAATAAATTTACATTTCCAATTATGTAAAATGCCTAGCTCAAACACTGC